CAGCTGTGTCCAGGAAACAACATTACTTTTGAATGGGGTAATTTTTATAAATTCAACTATTATTTTCTCTTGTGGACTATATGTAAAAGTCTTTTATGTGACATATCTTATTCAAGTCAGTACTAAATAAATAATAACATGCATTTTGTATGATCCCTCTTATTTCGGAAAAATAATTAACATTTTGCAGATTCTAAATTTCCCCTGCAGGATCAGTGAAGTCTCTCCTCTCATTCTCTCCATCTATGTATGTTAAACTAAATGAATGCATTACATGGTTTTGGCGACAGGCTCCTTCAGTTAAAAATGGGTGTTTTCTCTTAGGAGGTAAGGGAGGCAAAAATAAAATAAAATAAAATAAAATAAAATAAAATAAAATAAAATAAAATAAAATAAAATAAAATAAAAAATAAAATAAACTCTTAACACAAATATGCTCTTAAATAAATTATTCTAGTTTAGCAATAAATAAAGAAATAATGACACTTGTTTTTAATAAATAATATGCTTATGTAATAACCCGGAAACTGTGTAAATAAAAACTGGAGCATGAACTTATGTTTGACAAAACAAAAACCACACTCAAACAGACAGACAGAGAGAAATCTTCACCTCACAACACTGCAACTCCAGTATTATGAAGACATTTCTATTCTTCCTAGAACCCAACATGAACAAACTGCAATTTGTTCCAAAAAAAAGGCGATATGTACGCCAAAAGAGAATCGAAGAGAGCAGAGGAGGAAAAGGAGAACAAAAGGAGAGAACACAGATGGTTCTCATATAGGCGTGTGTTTGCGTGTGCCTCGACTCGTGTTACGCTCGCTCTGGGGAACGCTGGCTCTAGGCTGTCAAAACTAGTCAGGAAAAACTTTTGATAAATACATGAAATGGGAATAACATTCTTCAATCCCATCAGCAAAGTCTTTTGAGGACAATCCAAAAGTTCCTGTAAAGGAAGATGGAGCTAGCGAGTCTAAGGCGTCTCAATCTACAGCTAAGATTTCTTATATATAACATGTAGTGTAACAGTAGTGTTCCTTCAAGATTAAATATAAATCCAATATCCAATATACACACATGCTACCATTCAAAAGTCTCTTGCGTTCACCAAGGCTGCATTTATTTGACCAAAAATACATTAAAATCAGTAATATTGTGGAATATTATTTCAATTTAAAAGAAATGGTTTCTAATTGAATATAATTTAAAATATAATTTATTCCTGTGATGCAAAGCTGAATTTTCAGCATCATTACTCCAGTCTCCAGTGTCACATGATCCTTCAGAAATCATTCTAATATGCTGATCTGTCGCTCAAGAAACATTATTATTTGACGTTGAAAACAGTTGTGCTGCTTCATATTTCTGTGGGAACCGTGATAGATTTTATTATTATTATTATTTGATAAATAGAATATTCAATGTAAAAAGTCTTTACTGTCACTTTTGATAAATTTAATTCATCCTTGCTCAATAAAAGCATACGTTTATTTAAAATAAATAAATAAATAAATAAATACATAAATCTGGCTTTCCACCAAACCTCTGATTAGTTTGAATCTAAACATTTTAAATATTTTAAAAATAATGACTTTTCAGATATACTTACAAAGTTACACTTACAGTATGAGGGCTTTGAAATATCATAACATTTTTATAACATGTTAATATGTCTTAAAGGGGTCCTATTATGCTTTTTCACTTTTTCAACTTTAGTTAGTCTGTAATGTTGCTGTTTGAGCATAAAAAAGATCTGCAAAGTTACAAAGCTCAAAGTCCACTTCAAAAGGAGATATTTTATTGAACAGAAATCACTTTTTTTTTCAACTACAACGAACGACTCGTTTGGACTACAACGCATATTTTCTGGGATTTGTGATATCACAAAGATCGACGAATGGGACGAGACCTGGTAATGAGTGTTATCTCAGTATAGATTCTGAGATTCAGCCATGCTAAATTTGTAGTCTAAATTAGCGTTAGCATAAGCAAAATAGTGGTAAAATTAAATCTGGGTTAGTTCTCAGTTAGATTTTGCTATAGCTTGAACATTGACATGCTTCAACCAATATGGAAAAAGCCAATTCCCAAAAAAAAAAAAAAAAAAAATTTGTTGCAGAAAGACAAAATGAAAGTGCCTCAAACAGTGTTTTGTCATGAAGCTAGCCTGTTATTTGTCCTGCTCTACTCTAGAGCCATGGTGATAGTAGAGTACACTTTGGTAAGTCAGTGTGGTTTCACAGACGTCATCAGCAGAAGTGAATTGTTTTAGTGTGTGTGCAAGCGTGTGTTCAACTGAGGATGAAAAAGAGGTCAGTCAGTCCACTGAGGCACTGAGATGATAAAATAATGATGATAAAACAATTGGCATAAGTGACTTTTAGGCAAATAAATGCCACATGAACAACATCACAATTCAGTTAAATCTCTAAAGATCAATGCCTAGCATATCCCACCAAATCAGAGCTCATTTGCTCCTGTCATACATGAAGAGAACTGCTACAATGGCAATCTTTTCAGCACAAACTGCACTCATCTTTTCTGTTATCCATCTATATTTGCGCTGCTGCTGTGTCAAACTACACTTCTGCTATGAGGGTCAATGCCAGCTCCAATCACCCTCAAAACCCTAAAACTGCACACATGCTTTAAATGAAAGGCTGTTTCTCTTTTACTAATTTGAATAAAGCCTAATCCATAAACCCATGTCCAACTTTACTGACTCCATCACATGGTACTGGAAGTATGACGGTATTATTCTGTGCAACAGATAGAGATTTTGCTAAATTTATACCATGGTACATACATCCATGTGGCTATAAATGGGCAGAAACTGTTTTATATTATTTACACATGAGAATAGATTAAAAACAATGGACTAAGGTGAAAATACTGAAGTTTTTTGTTTGTTAGTTTGTTTTTGCAATGATGAATTAGTCTTTCAGTTATAAATAATATGTTATTAAATAATACATAAATAACATGGTACAATACTATATTATTGTTTGTGACAAAAAAAATAAAAATAAAATAAAGTGAAATTAAGCCTTTTATTTGTTTCAACAATATCCAAATAAATAACATCATATTAATAATTAAAAGTAAATGTTAAAATAATTATTCATTATATAAATCAAATAAATATATTTTATATAAATTATGCTTATTATACATATATATGTATATATATATATAGTATTTCTCCCAGAAAATATTGTGAATACACTACTGTTCAAAGAGTAAGATTTTTTTCTTATATGCAAAAATTTAAAAGAAAAAGAAAGAAAGAATGAATTAATGAATGAATATCAAGCAGCAAAACTGTATTCAACATTGATAATGATAATCATGTTTCTTGAGCAGCAAATCAGCATATTATACTGATTTCTGAAGGATCGTGTGACACTGAAGGCTGCAGTAATGAAGCTGAAAATTCAGCTTTACATCACAGGAATAAATTGCATTTTAAAATATATTCAAATAGAAAACAGTTATTTTAAATTGTAATAATATTTCACAATATTACTGATTTCACTGTATTTTAAATCAAATAAATGCAGCCTTGGTGAGCAGAAGAAACTTCTTTCAAAAAAAATCATTGCCAAACGCAACCTTGAGTATACAGTTACTCTGATCCAAACTCCTACCACAAGGTTTTGTCCTACCGCCCACACAGTGCCAGAGAGGCATGAGGAGAAGCAGGAAGTTAATTAAATTAATCTGACATTGAGAGATCAGATCATAACAGAACTGAAGCTAGATGATGTCTGAACCGAGCCTTTCCACACACGGAAACCGACCGGCTCCGACTGCTCTGTGAACAACTGCCAGGCACTGAGAAGCACAATAGCGGCGTTGTGAAAGCTCAGCAGAAAGAGTGTAAGAGGAGAGAGATGCTCAGATAGCCGTCCCGCCGCAGAACTGCTGATGCCTCATTCAGAGGTCACCCTGAATTTTTAAAATATATACATGTATGTTTGTGTATTTATATATACATAGTAAATATATACAGTAAACACATTATGTAAACAAACACTTTTATTATCCATATATATATATATGATGAGATATCTATCTATCTATCTATCTATATATCTGTATGTATGTATGCATGTATGTGTGTGTGTGTGATTTATATTAAATATGATTTAATTAAAGGGTCGGCATTTTGGTATGAGGGAAATGTTTTTAAATAATACAATACTTAGAGGTTCTTACCTGGAAAAAGTATTTCTTGCATAGTGCATGATGCTGTCGAAGTCATAGACCTCTCCGAGTGAGTCCACCTCACCAGGCTCCATCTTCAGGAAGTTGTACTCCTGTCCTATGAGACGAAACTGAGAATGAGACTCAGACAGGAAGTGATGTCAACAGTAAGAGCCCATACAGACAAAAGAGACAAAAAGAGGTGTCTGCGTTCACAAAATAGTTTTTACAGATTCATCATTACATTATCACATTGTGGATTATTTAATTACTATGTCCATACTTCATATTTGTCATTACGTCAGAGAGTATGTTCAGTAAATCAGAGCATTGTGTGTCCAGTATGCATTGGGGAAATTCCCAAGTATTCCTGGGTGGTGCACATGGCAACGCCACAAGCGCTCAAGCACATCCCCTGTTAGCTGGCAATTATTATTATGAAAGACATTCCACTAATGTGCTTCAAAATATTTAATATAATAAAAAGGGCAAAACACTTCTCTATCATCAGTGAATTTCTCAAGTCGCAGACATTATTTATGAATCTTCCCTCTCTGCTGAGAATTATTCCGTGCCATATAATGAGTCTGTAATGAGTCTCTATTTGCACAGATGTGTAACGACAGCCATTATTTCAGCATATCTTGTTCATTAAGTATTCGTTAGTATCAATATGTTAGTCTTAAGGTTGTCTATAAGGCAGTGTGGGAATTCCGTGGCATTCCGCGCTATAGAGTAAATTACGTTTATATGAATGGACTCCGCGTTTTCGCAGAAACCATACAGCTCTAGAAATGTAACCACACTTCAGAACATTTCGGCTTGCCCTGTGATTAGTGCTGAGCTCAGCAGTCGAGAATGTGTTTTATAAAGTGGGCCGTGTCGTTCCAAGCAAATGCTGTAACAGCTGCTTCCAAGAAAGCTGGCACAAAATCGTCTTTTATGCTTGTTGTTGGAGTGTTGTTGACCTCACTTTTCTATGCATTATCATGAGCTTTCAGTTAGCAATACATGGCATGTAATCTGTGCAGAGATCATTGGCATTACACCTAGGGTTGGGTACCATTCACATTTTAACCGGTACGGTACCGGTATTTAACGTGAATCGGTACTCGGTAGTACCAATGCAATTCGGTTGGTACCCTTAAAAGTACCGAGTTCGGTACCCAACCCTAATTACACCTGAGTCTTGAATACAATCACTTCACACACATGCGAGCGATATTTTGCGGCTGCTGTTTTTCTTACCTGGCTGAATGTTGTCCCGTATGATACTGACATGATCGTCTCTGTCGGGTCGCGTGTGCTCATGCCAGAATCCGATCACGTGACCGAGCTCGTGCACCACAATCCCAAACTTATCACAGTTCTTCCCGATGGATATGGCCTGCGGACCCCCTCCTCTCCGGCCCACATACGAACAGCACCTGTACACGTTTATAACATCACAGATAATTTTAAATATATCATATAATATGATATAATATTTAGTAATTATACATCTTAATATTAAAACATATTAAACCACAATCCCTTATCGCAGTTCTTCCCGATGGATAGGGCCTGCGGACCCCCTCCTCTCCGGCCCACATATGAGCAGCACCTGCAGAGGTTTATAACATCACAGTTCATATTACCGTTAATGCTTGATTAAAATCTCAAGTTCATGTGATTCATCATTTCACTGATCACAAAAATATTAAGAAAAAACCCTGTGGTTGAAATCATTGTCATTATCTTTCAGTCATTTTTTTGTCATACTTTTCAAGACATGTATTTTGTGTATTATGATGACTGGGTGAATATCACAAAGAAATGTTTGGGTTATATTTCACCCAAAATATAGTGTAAAAGGTTTCTTATTATTAATTGCACATGTTATTAATGATTAATATTTAGTAATTATAATTATAATTATCTTAAGATAATTATAAATATCTTAATTAATATTAAAACATTTTAACTATATTATAATTATATAGTATTCATATTCCATGTATAATTAATTATTTGATTTAATACATATATTTTCATTTATTTTATTAATTAACTGTTTTAATATATATATATATACATTATTATTATTATTTTTTTTTTCATAATGTAATTAAACCTATTTTTAGGACCATTCATAATTTTGCATTTTTATTTCTTTATTTCTTTATTTTACACACACACACACACACACACACAAAAAAATTGTGGGTAAATTTTAAGAAACACTACAATGTGCTTAAAATATTTAATATAATAAAGAGGGTAAAACACTGTTACAAATAATATTTTATAGGCTATATCATTAGTGAATTTCTAAAGTCACAGACAAGAAAAATAATTTAATTATAAATGTAATAAACTATTAAACCTATTTTTAGGACCATTCATATTTTTGCATTATTTTCATGACAATTAAGCATGTTTTACACACACACACAAATAAAAATAAAATAAAACACTGTAAAACCACGAAAAACCTATCTCAAAATTAGCTTTGTTTTCTTTATCTAAAATATCGTTTACATTTTTTCCCTTTTAAATTTGAGTCAAACACTGTTCTTATCTCGTATCATGTAATGCGTTTATGTACAAACTGGCCACTTTTTTTTTCTTCTCAACAACACACAAGCAAGCGAAGTCACAAACTGAAACAGAACACAACGTGAACTCGAACAAAATGTCACGCATCGTTTGTTTTGTAAGTTTGCTTAGAGCTACATGTTTCAAAATCCACAGAGAAACAGGGGAGTCTGTGCGCGGAGCCACAGCGGTGAGACACACACCAACACACTAAACACACAATCAAACGATCCCTTTCTCAAAGCGCTGGGATATGTGGGAGAAAAAGTGCTGAGAGCTCGCTTGCCTGCGATCTGCGCACACACATCCGAACCCACGTGTGCAGCCTGTGTGGGTGCAAAAGATCAGTCTTTAATTACGAGGCAGCCAGCGGCCCGCTCCAGAAACTCTGCCTTGAACTTTGCACAGAACGACAGGAATCGCCTGAACACACACACACACACACACACACACACACAGGGGCTCATCAGAGCATGGCTTACCCATTGGCAACTACTGCTGCATGTGAAGAGGAAAATATCTAATGTTTCATCACCTCCACACACACACACACACTGTTTGTGTGCCCATCATGGCCTGCAGTGGGACATAAAGGCCCCCTGTACTTCCACACAGAACTGAAATGCCTGGCAAAGCCTGCGCAGCGCTATATTTTCTGAAGTTTCCCCTCGCTGCCCGACCGCAACGGCACGTCTACTTAAACAGTGAGAAAGCAAACAGTCTGTTACATTTGTCTCTGTCAGTATGACTTTCTTTCTTCGTTTGTAAACCAGTTCTCGGAGGAAATCATTGGTTTAGTTTTGTATTCATCTCGCTTATAAATGTAGACAGTATGAGACATTGTATGCTCTGGATAAAATTCATTGCTCAGATTGCCAGACGTTATTTATTGCTCTTTAATAGACGTTTCCTTTCAGGTATCAACTTTGTTTCTCCTAAAATTCATTGGACACCAAAATGGACACCAATGTGACAGTGTAGAGCCGATAGTTTAGTATTATTACTTCTAGACTGATAGAATATGAATGGCACAGCTCTGATCATTTGTTTATGAAAAATGATGAAATTGTCATATTAAAATCCCTGACTTGTATCTATCATCTTGTGTCATTATTAATACACCAGCGTTATTCTAACAAGTGCTAATAGTAGTATAAATACTATAATTATGTTAGTTTATACTTGTATTAATGAATAAAAGTGTGCATTACAAGTTTGTTACAGTATTAACTGTGTATTGATAATTTGCTTTCGTATGCACTTTTTTCCTCAAAGGTGTTTTGAGTTTGTTTTATGACAGTAGCATTGTTATTTTAGTATCTTTTGAGATACTAAATTCTAGATAGTTTTTTTTAATCATTTGAATTAGGTTCTGTTTTTTTGTATTTTTAATTTTCATTTTAAGTTTTGTTAAAGTTTTAGTAATCGTGTTGTGTTTTGTCAGTTTATTTATTTTTTTAAATATGTATCTATCGTTTTTATAAATTTGTATTTCTTTTTTAGCTTTTAGTTATTTTAGTAAATGAAAATGAACATTTTGCTTAGACAACTAGCTAAAAGTTTAGTAATATAGTAGTGTATATATACAGTATATATAATTTTAAACAGCAAAATTGCCAAAGTAAAATCTGACTGCCAAATGTTGAATTTGTTTTGAATTTTATATTGAATTTTGTATTTTATTTTAGTGAATTTGGCCAAATTTAAAGACATTGTTGACATTTCTTCAAAAACTCTTTAGAAATGCGAGTTTACTTTTTGTCATCTGACAAAGAGTTTTATGTTAATTTCTTAATCCATTTAATCTAATTTCTGATGGATATATATACAGTATACATATAAACACCATCTCATTTGTAATTTTTCTATGGTTAAATTGTATAGACTTTATAGAGGGCAAAAAAGAAAAAAAAAGAACTTTATGCATTTGTTTATCATCTATCCAATCAGTGTTTTCTCTCTCTCTCTCTCTCTCTCTCTCTCTCTCTATGTTTAGTATGTTTGTTTATTTATTTTGAGATTAGGACATCAAGTTAGAAGCTTCAGTAATCTCAGACTATATTTTTCATGACTTCAAGAAAAATAAAGAAAAAAAACTATAACACATTTTCCAATATTATTTGCAACAAAATCCCATTTTACCACCTCCTGGGTATCCTACCATGCCATAATAACGATGTTAAATGAAATAAGGGATCTACTTTTAAGGTTACAGATTGTGCAACTTTACCCTTCAAAAAATATTGTATTTCTTCAAGGTGCGAGTTTTAGTTTAACTGTTTGTTAGTATAACTGTTATTAAAAGAATTCATATTCTACACTTCTGTCATTTTTTTTTGAGGGGGGGGGGGTCGATTATACTCTTAATCAAGGTTTCTTGCACCAAATAACGCTTTGTTTTTCATGACCCTCCACCCTCTCTCTGCACCTCAGAAATTACAGTCTTTTTTGATTCTAAGACTTTCATATGGAAACTTTATAAATGTCCAACATATGTATAATCATACATATGAATAAACATATTCATCTTGACAGGCCGAGATGCTGATCACTGAATATGTGTTGATATTCCAAGCCAGACGTTTATTGTCATTCATGATGATTTCCACACAACTTTCGCGAAATGTTCTGTGTGGTCTGTGGACGAGCTTTGAGCGGTGAACGTTTGTCAACCGCACATTTCAAAAAGAGCAAAATAAATCCTGTTTTCCAGCAGAGCAAAACCGATGTGCCAACACGGCATCCCGGGGACTGATTTGTCTCCAACGGATGTGACCGTCAAGCTGGGCTCTGAACTTCTGCCACGCTACTGAAGCATCTACGGGGAGCCATTGTGTACGGATAAAACACACATGTTCAGGTGACAGTCCCGTGGAGAACAGTGTGACACAAACGACTGGTATTTCCTCAGCGAAGCATAGAGTAATCGCTCGGTCAAGACTCGAGAGCCCACACACACATAAACACCCAAATCCGTCTATTGGCGCACAAAGCAGATAAGGGGAACAGAGGAACGGATTGGATGGAAAACCACTTGAGCGATAAATCAGGAAGAGACCAAAAAGAAAGAGGAGAGAGTGAAAGAAAAGAGTGAAAAGCACACGCTCCACATGAGCGAGAGAAGCGAGCTTGAATCCTTCCTGGAAGAGTCAAAGGTTTCGTCCTCCTGCTGTGGAAACTCTCTCTCACATTGACACGGACACACACACACCTCCCTGTGAAGCCTGCACATATCCGCTAACAAACACACTTACCCACACGGCCGGTAGGTGAAGACGATGTAGCTCTCCTCTGTTGTTCTCTCGATGAACGTCACACATGTGTGTTTTTCCCAGTGTCTCATGGCCTGTCTGAATATGGCTCTCTGGCTTCCTGTACAGCACACACACACACACACACACACACGTGAGCAGGGTGACCAAACTTTTAAGGTGCCGGTGACATCTGTGAAATTTTGGCGATTTTGCACAGGCAAAATTGCCCATTGTCTATTGTCAGTTGTGACGAGTGGGGGCGGGGCCGAGAGCCGTGGGAACGGAGTGAGGCCGGTGGAGTAATTGATAATGAGCGACACCTGCACCACTCACCGGTCTCGAGTCCCACGGAGGAGCTCCGGAAGGATAAAAGGGAGGAGTGACGACAGTGATCAGTATTGTAGCGACGTCTGAAGCACAGCTCACACAGAAGCCACTTTCAAAATAAACCGCTTTCTAATGGTCACTGCGGCAAATTTGCGTGACCAACTTGCATCCGTTGCGAAATCTGCATAGGGGAATCGTTATCTTGCGTGAAAATCCCATTTGTGTGGATAAATATTGAAATGACTGGATTTCGCCTGTAACAATTTGCCGAACAATGGTAAATGCAACTGCACCTTTAAATCACAGCATGAGTAATTTTAACTCTTTCCCCGCCATTATTTACGAGACAACGCTTCTTCGATATTGACTGGATTTTTCAGCTTTCCAATGTTTCACATTCAAATCGCCTGGATTCAAAATCTAACTTAAACCTGGTAAGCAGGAGTAATTTTATATTACAATTTTATAACAAGATATGTATCTTAACAATTGTGGTTTTCGTTGCTAAGTCAACCAAAAACTGTTTCGCATACAAATCACTTAGATTCAAAATCTAACTTAAACCTGGAAAATAAACAGAACATTTTAGAATTCATTTAAAACAAAGAAAAACTATGAATAAAATGGCAATAAATAAATAAATAAATCACTCTATATTAATTTTAGGTCACTAATTAAATGTGACCCTGGACCACAAAACCAGTCATAATGGTACATTTTTTGAAATTGAAATTTGTACATCACCTGAAAGCTGAATAAATAAGCTTTCCATTGATGTGTGGTTTGTTAGGATAGGACAATATTTGGCCTCCATGTATTCACTGTTATACTGTAGGAGGTGCTGTTACATCTTCTGATAGATGTATGTAAGACATATGTAAGCAGAAGCATACGTAAAATAACAAACATTAAACAGCATATAAATCAAAACTGCCTTACATTACCGAATGAAATGACGATCCAGGAAGTGGTTTAGGACTGTGAAGCTTTGGAGGTGTTGATGAAAGCTCCAGCTATCTTTTGATCATCGATCTGAATCCGATCCGGATGCAGTCTTTGACAAAAATGTGATTTTCTCAGCTTTTTGTTCAAAACGTTGCTTTTTTTTATGAAACTTGTCCACGTTCAAGTGTTGATAAAAAAGATTGCATGAAGCTAAAATAATGGTGTTTGTTGTTGTTGTTGTTGTTTAAAAGCATTGCATGTTCAGATATTCATACAACAAAATATTCTGGAGGCCATGAAATTTTTGTGAAAATGATCAAAAATGCTGGCGGTGGCTGGCAACTTTTTTT